ATTAATAATAATAACAGGTGTGTTTTAAATGAGGTTGTAATCTATCCAGGGGTGCATTGGAAAATCATAAAGGTATGGAAACAGCTGGAACCACAGCTGGATCCAGAAGAGTCTCTTCTACAAAAGCTGCTTGGAAAATATTGGAACTCAAGAGCATCTTTTAAAAACCAGACACTGAAAGATGCCAGCTTCTCTCTCTTATAATACAGTGGATTTTATTATAAAATAAAATCTTAGAGGCGCATCTGGAGAAACAGAGATCTGATCAGTTGTTAATTGAGGGCTAAGCGGGAAGGGAGGTGAAGATTCAGGGGGCGAATGGCTAAATGTGAAAGAGGAAAAGGGAGCTATTTGGTCGGATGAAACCTAGGAATAAAAAGTCAACCGCAATGGATATTTTTCCCCACACAAGGATCTTGAAGGCAACTGCTCTACAGAACCTCTTACAGACTCTAAATTATATTTATCTACCTACATGGACACAGGAAGGGCCTCAAGAAAACTCATCGTTTTGAATTGGCTGTTGAGAAATAGGAGTAGAAAAAATACCTCTCCAAGATTCCCCTCCTTCCTTCCTTCCTTCCTTCCTTCCTTCCTTCCTTTCCCTCGCTGCCTTCTTCCTTCTCATTTTCTCCTGTGCTTCCTTCCTCCCCTTTTCTTTTCCCTTTCCTCCTCCCTTCAGAGTCAGATTAACAGAGTTGGAAGGGACCTTGTAGGTCATCTAGTCCAACCCCACTCCCCTGCCCAAGCAGGAGACCCTACACCATTTCTGACTCCCTCCCTCCTTTTATTCCTTCCTTTTATTCCTCCCTTCCTTCTTTCCTCTTCTTTCCTTTCTTCTTTCATTCCTTTCCTTCCTCTCCTTCCTCCATTCCTCCCTCCTTTTCATCCTTAATTTTCAGGCATCTCCAGAGCCTCCAGCTGGGACATTAGACGTTTTCTCCCCAAAAGCCAGTGTCCCCCCCCCCCTTAAAACCCTCTGAACCCTTTCCAGGTTGGCTGCCCCCTCCCCTCCCTCCAATTCAATTATTATCTTCCAAAGCTTTGGACCACCCGGCGGCTCAACCGAGCCTCCCTACCCAGAGAGAGTCTATCAGCTGCAAGGGAAGCTGGGAAGGGGGGGGGGGGCGTCCGAGGTTCCCTCTCCCATGGTCACTTCGGAGGCTGCTGTCAACAAGAGGGAGCTGTTCGTGGCGGGGGGCGGTGGGGAGAAGCGGGGGGTCGTGGCTGCGAGCTTGGAAAGAAAAGCTTTGAAAACCAGGAAGGGGGAGAAGGGAGATTTTGGACTCAAATTTTGCAATAGTGACTTAAAATTCCAGCAGATTCAGCGCCAGTTCAAGCCTCTTTTTTTCCCAGCATCTTGAATGGGGGTTTTTTTTGGGGGGGGGGGGGGGGGGGGGAGAGGGGGGGGGTCGTGGCTGCGAGCTTGGAAAGAAAAGCTTTGAAAACCAGGAAGGGGGAGAAGGGAGATTTTGGACTCAAATTTTGCAATAGTGACTTAAAATTCCAGCAGATTCAGCGCCAGTTCAAGCCTCTTTTTTTCCCAGCATCTTGAATGGGGGTTTTTTTTGGGGGGGGGGGGGGGGGGGGG